CCCAGGGTGGATCCATGGGCTGGGAGGGCTTTTCCAGCCTCAGGGATTCAGCACTCACCTTCTGGAAGTACCCCCTCCTCATGGAGCTGTCCTTGACCTGTCTGAAGTACACGTACCCGAAGTAATGAGCGGCCTCGCGCTGCAAGAGACCCCCAGAGTGAGGCACAAACCAGTGCTGGGCCACCAACCCCAGCCCCTGACCCCACACCCACCTCCCTCCTGCTCCGACACAGCCCAGCACTCCCTCAGTTACAGCTCCCTGTGCCCAACTCACTGGGACAGCTTCCCAAATGGGAGAGGGAGGGGACACAGCTGGGGCTGGAGCCCCTCTGCTCTGGAGCCAGGCTGGGAGAGTTGGGGGGGTTCCCCTGGAGAAGAGAAGGTTCCAGGGAGAGCTGAGAGCCCCTTGCAGGGCCTAAAGGGGCTCCAGGAGAGCTGGAGAGGGACTGGGGACAAGGGATGGAGGGACAGGACACAGGGAATGGCTTCCCAGGGCCAGAGGGCAGGGATGGATGGGATATTGGGAAGGAATTGCTGGCTGGGAGGGTGGGGAGGCCCTGGCACAGGTTGCCCAGAGCATCTGTGGCTGCCCCTGGATCCCTGGAAGTGTCCAAGGCCAGGTTGGATGGGGCTTGGAGCAATCTGGGCTGGTGGAAGGTGTCCCTGTCCATGGCAGGGGTGGGATGATCTTTAAGGTCTCTTCCCACCCAAACCATTCCATGACATGATTCTATCCTATAACAAAAACCATTCCAGCCTCCAGGCAGCACCTTCACTGGCCCCTTCCTGCAGCACCTTCAGGCCCAGCATCTAAAGGGTTAATGAGATTTCCACAGAGGACCAGCTGGGCCAACCCACTGAGCTCCTCCTGCTCCCACTGTCAGCTCCTGTTGCCAGCTGGAGGCCAGGGAATTGTTGAGGAAGGAATCCATCCTCACTCAGGGGAGGAAATGTCCTGTCCCCTGCCCCTGCTTTCCTCCTCCCTCAGCAGTGAAGGCAGCACTGCACAACCTCTGCTCAGGGTGGCACAAAGCTGGGTCTTGTTTCCTCCACAGCATCCAGGAAATCCAAGGGATGCAGCACAAATCCCCAGGGATCAGTTCAAGCTCATTATTGCCTCTAAGATCCCACAGCAAGGAGGAAGGATCGTTATCAGTGCTGAACACAGGCATCCTTAATATCATTTTTGAAGCCCCAGAGTTAAAGGCACCTTTCTCTTCCCAAATGTTCTTTTCCCACAGCAGAATCCAGCACTTTGGGAGTTTTACTTCCCTCACTCTAAAGCTGGGTGACTCGTGGCAGTGTCCCAGTGCTACAAAGATGTATCCAAGCCCAAAAATCTCTAGACCAGAACTTAGGGAAAGAAATCCTCCCACTGCCTCTCAGAGCAGCAACCCTCAATCCCAGGATTGAGGTGTCCCACAAAAAGGCTGTGGAAGGGTTAGAAAGGCCCAATGCACAGGAAGCAGCACCTCAGAGGGGAAAGCAGGAGAGGACAGAGCTGATTCCACCTGCTCAAACTGGAAAAGTCACAGAGCTCAGCACATCCCTCCCCTGCAGGGAACCGACAGTTCCCCCATGGAAAACCACAGCTGGAGGACAGGAGGGGTTGGGAATGGCTGTCCCACCCCTCAGAGGCAGCCCAAGGGGGGATTTGTGGCATCCCACAGCTGCCTTTACACCCATAGGTCCTGCAACAAAGGAAAACAACCACCACCCCTGCACACAGCAGGGGAACACTGACCACAGACAGGGACATTCCTGGGTTTCCTCCTGGGAACGTGCACAGGCAGCCAGATCCCTGTGGGATTCCCTGTGGGATTCCCTGTGGGATTCCCTGCATGCCACTGCTGCTCCTGGGGCTGCAGCTGGGGGTGACACTGCTCTGACCTGGGCTCCCCCTGATCCAGTTCCATCTCCTGCTGTAACTGGGGTCCCCTGATCCAGTTCCATCTCCCAGTGTAACTGGGGTCCCCTGATCCACGTTCCATCTTCCAGTATAACTGGGGTCCCCTGAGCCAGTTCCATCTCCTGCTGTAACTGGGGCCCCTGAGCCAGTTCCATCTTTAATCCCTGGGATTCAGTTCCCTCTCCCAAACCAGCTGGGAGTCCCCTGATCCAGCTCTATTTCCCAGCACACTGCATCCCCCCGGTTCAGTTCCCTCTCCCAGCACAGCTCCATCTCCATCCTCTCTGTGAGCACTGACGTGGCAGCAAATCCCTGTCCTGAAATCCTCCTCCTGTCCTGCCCATTCCCACAGCCAGAGAAAAGGGGCACCTCCCCCCGAGCCCACAGACCCCCTGCACGTGTGGCTGTGTCCCCAGCCAGCCCTGTGTGCCCCGGGAGGGGGGAGCAGAGCCAGGACCGACCTGCAGCGTCAGGGGGGCCTCCCGGTTGTACCGACCGTCGTCCTGGAACGGGGAGGTCCTGGGGCCCCCCGACTGCCGCAGGCGGAAGCTGAACTGGGTGTCCCCAAGGCCACCTGGGACAGAGAACAGCACAGGGCTCAGGAGAGCTGGGGATGGCTCCCGTGGGGCAGGGAGGGGGGGCTGCAGGGAGCTCCAACGCTGAAACGGAGAGGAACAGCATAAAGAAACCCCCGAGAGACAGCGCGAGACAGGAGGGGAGGGAAGGAGATGTCAGGAGAATGTTCTTCCCTGGCAGGGTGGGCAGGCCCTGGCACAGGGTGCCCAGAGAAGCTGTGGCTGCCCCTGGATCCCTGGGAGTGTCCAAGGCCAGGCTGGACAGGCCTTGGAGCAACCTGGGACAGTGGAAGGTGTCCCTGGGTAGCACTGGACAACATCTGAGGTCCCTTCCCACCCAACCCATTCCATAAGCCCATGGAAGCTGCAGGAAACCAACAGTCAGGAACCACCCTTCAGTAACCAGGCTTGGATTGAGACTTAATTCTTATTGTCCCCTTCCTGGTTTATAAACACAGGCTTTGGGAACACTTTTGCTGTGGAATTGTCCTCTCCCAGCTCCTGCTCCTCACTGGGCACTCACAAACACAGGAATGTGAGAGCCAAGAGCTGCCACCTCAGGGAACCCTTCCTGGTTCTTTGGATGTTTCACTGGCACAGGGGAAGCAGGAGTGCACGAGTTTGTAGAGGAACCACCCAGCAGATCACAGATTCTGAATGCAGACATCAACCAACAGGACAAGAAGCCTCTTTGCTCAGCTCTGATGGCACCAGAACCACAGGCCGAGAGGATGCAGCCCATCAGCCTGTGCTGCATCCCAGGGGACAACTCAGCCCTTCCACCCTGGACCCATTTCCTTCACCCCTGGTGCCACCTACCTGAGTAGGAGTCTGGGAAGGACAAGTAGCAGATACTCGTTTTCTGCAAAAAAACCCCAAGACACCCAGTAAGAATCCCCCCATCAGAGCTGCTGAGTGGCTTAAAAATGGGAGAAAAAAGGGAATAAATAGTTGTTACCTCTTTCTCTGTCAGTCTGAAGTCGTGAGGATACACCAGCTGCCAAAGAGACGGGAGACAGTCAGTCAGTGTGTTCCCCGACTTCTACACACTAAAAATGCCTTATTTTCCCCAAAGTAACAGATCCCACAAGGAGGTGCCTTGGCCCACACAGCCTTTCCTGGTGGGAAAATGCAGGAATTGCAGGAGGCTTTAAATGGGTAGAGGAGGAAGGAACCAGCCCAGGCTGAGATGGGACACAGAGATCTGCCCCAGCCACGGGAACTCTGCTCCAGAGGCAGCTGCTTCTCCAGTCAGGAGCTCCAAGCAGCGCTTGACTCTCCTTTCCGGGCTATAAATAGCACAGGTGGCACCGTGCCAGGGTGCTGGAAGTTCAGGGAGCCCTGACAGTTCCCCTCGGGTTCCTTGGCAAGGGTGCCTCAGCCAGAGCCAAACTCCCAGGTAACAGTGCCAGGGCCCAGCCCTCGGTGGGAGCGGCTCTGGGAGCAGGGAGCTGCTGCAACACGGGGGAAAACATCCTCAGGGGGAGGAACACGGGCAGGGAAGGGTCTGGATGCTGCAGAGGGAAGGGATGGGGAGGTCACAGGACACGCTTCCCTCTGCTCCATTTCTGCCTCAGGACACGGAGCACGTCCCCGGGGCTGGGACTGATTTAATCTCCAGCCAAACGTGGTTAATTCCCATGGAATAATGACCAGACCAGGAACAGGGAGACCAGGAATCAGCTGATCCTGATTCCCCAGGAGCCCAGGAATCCCATGGCACCCAGCTTTCCACATTTGCTGAAGGTCTAACTCAGGTCAAGAGCCGAGACAAGGCTCCTACTTCTCCTGCTGCATTTTGGGGGTTCTTTCTGCAAGTAAATGGTTTGAAAATCAGGCCTTGACTTCCAGGGTTGGACTTGATGATCTTGGAGGCCTTTTCCAACCTCAATTATTCTCTGATTTTGCATCTTTAATTCCCCCTCTCTTTTAAGTCTGACATTCCTCTACGTTTGGGGTGGGGGGAAATCACTAAATATCCACAAGATTAAAACCTCCAAATCCAAATCAGAGAGAATCCGTGTGGCTACAGCTTCTCAAAAGCAAAAAAAAGGGTAAATAAAAAGGAATTTTTGATTTGTGAAAGTCCAAAAGGGCTTAAGCCATGTCCTAATGTGTGATAAGTGCTCTCCCCATCCATGAGAATGAAGGAGCAAGGAGGAGACACACGTTGTTGGAAAGGGATCCCGGCACCCCAAACTCTGGATCCCGGGAGGTGCCAAGGGCTGCTGCCATGGCAACGGGGCCAACATCCCAGGAAATGCCCCTGGAGGAGCCCAGCCTGACGGAGTGCCTGTGTTTGGGAAGGCTGGGCAGGGAGCAGCCTGTGCCAGTGACACCAGGGATGGTTTGGAACCACGGGGAGGGATTTCCAGCGTTTCTGTGGCTGTGGGGAGGAGAGAAGCCAGAGCCTCGGGGGGCTGGAGGGCAAAGGGCTGTTGGGGAGGGCAGGGAGAGCATCCCAGACCTGGCTCCTCCCTCCCTGGCACTTTTCCCTTCTGTCATCGACTATTTGAAGAAATGTAAATGGGTGGAGGGGTCAGAGACAGAAATGACACCTAATTTCTGCAACAACCTGTGCTTTCCTTTCTAGCAGCTTTCCTGCTGTCTCTGCAAACAGCAGTGCAGGGGGAACCCCTGAATTACAGAATATTTTGAATCTTTTTCGGAATCTTTTGAATCTCTGAAGCTTTCAGAGCTGAATTCCAGGCCAACGACAGAAGTACACCGAGAGACAGGGGCACGGAACAGAAAACACATGGAACTCAGGATCCTGAGCGGGCCCCAAGCAAGGGCTTGGCTGTGAGTCTGTACCCACAGACCCCCGAGTTTGTACCCATAGACCTCCGAGTCTGTACCCACAAATCTGAGTTTGTACCCACAGAACCTGAGTCTGTACCCACAGAACCTGAATTTGTTCCCACAGAACACTGAGGCTGTACCCAGAGCCTCCCTTGGGTTTATACCCACAGGACCCCCGAGTTTGTATCCAGAGACCCCCGAGTTTGTACCCACAGACCCTCCCCGAACTTGTACCCTGACCCTCCATCCCTGATCCCCCCCATCCCCGATCCCACTCTCTCCCCATCCCTGCCACCCAGACTCCTATCTCTGATGTCCCCACTCCTATCCCTGATGTCCCCACTCCTGTCCCTGATGTCCCCACTCCTATCCCTGATGTCCCCACTCCTATCCCTGATGTCCCCACTCCTGTCCCTGATGTCTCCGCAGCCCCATCCCCGATCCCCCCTCTCCCCATCCCCTGACCCCTTTCTCACGCCCCCATCGCTGCCCCTCCGCGCCCCGGTGCCCGCGCACCTCCATGGCCTGCCCGAGCTCCAGGTCGAAGGTGACCACACACACGCAGTCGATCCAGGCGGCGAAGCGGCCCCAGGGCAGCGGGGACGGGCCGGGCCCGGGGGCGATGGCGGCGCGGGGGGCCCGGGGCCCTGCCCGGCTCAGCGCGTCCATGGCGGCGCCGGCCCGCGCGCCGCCCCCCGCGCTCCTCCGCGCCCCCTGCCGGCCCGGAGGTCCCGCGTCCGCCCCACCCCGTCGCGCTCCGCCGCGCCCCCTGCCGGCCCGGAGGTCCCGAGAGCACCTCCCGCACCATCGAGACGGGTCGGGGCGCGCAGAGCGGCGCGGGGCGGGTGTCATGGCGGCCGGGGGCGGCGGTGTGAGGGGAGCGGCGGCTCCGCGGGGCTCGGGGGCGGCCGCGGGGGTCTGAGGGGGGTCTGAAGGGGGTCTGAAGGGGGTCTGCGGGCCGCTGAACCCACCGCGGCGTCACCGCTTATCCCCTGGTCCCCCAGCTCTGCGTGGCTTCCGCCGCCGTGACCCTGGTGCGGGCGTCCCCGACCCCCCGTTCGCAGCCCCCAGGCCCGGTGCCCATCCCGGCCGGGAGCGGGGCCGATCTTAGGAGCTCTCTAAACGCAGACGCATTTAAAAAGCAGACGCTGTTTATTCTGCGCGGGGGAGCTTTCACAAACCAAGCACAGTAAGGGCTAAAAAGTTCCATGTTTTAGACAGCCAAATTTACATGACCCCGCCTGTCTCATGTATATTCCCCGCCTGCCTAATGCATATTCATTTCGGGACGGAATTTTACGCGATGCTTGAAACTTCAGATTTCTTTTCTTTATTAAGCAGCTTCTACCGTAGAAGTTACCTGACGACATAGTTACGTTTTCGAGAGGTGAGAAAGTGGCATCAGTTCCTTTTGCAGGAGTTACCTGGCGGCACCATCACGCTCACAAAAGTTGAGGAGATCCAGGTAACTCATCCTGGGGACAGGTGGTTCATCCTGGGGACACCCGGAGCGCTGCCCCCGGGGCGCATTGGCAGAGCCGGGCACAGGTGGGTGTTTGCCAAAGCAAAGGGCAAAGGCTGGACCGGGATCATCCCACGTGGTGGGTTTTGTGGGATTTCAGGCACGTGAAGGCTGTGGCACGAGTTGCTTCCCCAGGGGACTCGTTCAGTGCTCGGGGTGGGAGGACAGTGGCACCTGGGAAATGGGAAATATCAGGGATAAATCAGTTCTGTGGCGGATTTCCTGAGGCGCTGGTGAGACCCAGGGGCTTTGGGGGTTTTATTTACTACCAGTCTGCTGCTCAGCCAGTGTCAGCCCTGGAGCAGGGAAGGATTGGGATCACTGGAAAGAGAAAGTGTAAGAAGAACAGTTCCACCCTGGGAGTGTCCAAGGCCAGGTTGGATGGGGCTTGGAGCAACCTGGGACAGTGGAAGGTGTCCCTGCCCATTTTTCTTACATGCAGGACAATTGTCAGAGAAAATAAGTGAAAAAAGTGTTGCCAGACCTAGAGCTGATTCTTGCCAGGGAAGGGACAGGATGAAAAGGTCAAAAAAAATAACCTGGGTAAACAAATATTGGACAATTTATTGCCCCATAATCCTTTGTCCCATAATAAAAATCACTTTTAGTCTCATTCCAAGGGTCTCACTCATGTTTCACTGCAGCCACACATACATGACCAGCTTGGCAAGCACAATGAAATTTACTGTGAATAAAAAGGGTGAGGAAAGTGCTGAGAACAACCTGAGAAGTATAAAAATGGGGGCTGAAGGCTTTAATTTAATATGGAAACACAGCTTTACTCTGAGCAGGGAACTGTCACAGGCAGAGAGTCAGATCCAAGGTCCCCATTTCTCCCTTCACAGGGAATTTCCTGCAGTTGTGTGGCAGGACAGGCAAGTGTTGGAATCACAGAATCATGGAATGGTTTGGGATGAGAGGGACCTTAAAGATCATCTCCTGTTGTTCCACCCCCTGCCATGGGCAGGGACACCTTCCACCAGCCCAGGTTGCTCCAAACCCTGTCCAACCTGGCCTTGGACACTTCCAGGGATCCAGGGGCAGCCACAGATGCTCTGGGCAACCTGGGCCAGGGCCTGCCCACCCTCCCAGCCAGCAATTCCTTCCCAATATCCCATCCATCCCTGCCCTCTGGCACTGGGAAGCCATTCCCTGTGTCCTGTCCCTCCATCCCTTGTCCCCAGTCCCTCTCCAGCTCTCCTGGAGCCCCTTTAGGCCCTGCAAGGGGCTCTCAGCTCTCCCTGGAGCCTTCTCTTCTCCAGGGGAACCCCCCCCAGCTCTCCCAGCCTGGCTCCCAGGGAAGGTTCACATGAGCTGAGGCCCTGCCCCGAGGGATTTTTGGTTTCATGTTGTCTGAACACCAGAGACCTTACAATTCGTTTTCTCAGCTCCTCTTGGCACAGCCCGGGGCAGGTTTGAGCCCGAGTGGGTGTCGGGCTCTGACCAGGGCAGAGGGTGCAGGGGAGGTGTCACATCCCACTGCACAGTGGGGTTTGCTCCGAGAAAAGAGTCCAACCCCCTCCAGAGGAGCCACTGAGCTCCCGGTCCCACGGGGCAGCTGATCCCAGACCCCAGCGTGAGCCCTGGCAGCGCCTCGGTGCTGCTGGACCATATTTGGGCAGTGCTGGCTGTGCAGATCCAGCCCTGCAGCCCCGATCCCGGTCCCGCTCCCGGCTCGGGGCTCCGGGGCAGCGCTGGGGCCGCTCCACATCTCCCCGGCAACGCCGGGAAACACAACATTGCTCAACCCCGGCCGCAGCCCCCGCGCCTCCGCTATAATTATCTCCTGCATCGCGGCTCTCAGGAGCCACCGGATCCTGCAGGATCCTCTGCGTCCAGCTCCCCTCCGTCTGCCCCTGCTCCCGCGCTGCCGGCCGGGATCGTGTTCCCCCGGCGGGAGGGGGAACATTCCCCGCAGCCCCGAGGAACGTGCGAGGAGCCGCACGCCAAGAAATGCTGCTCCGTGCTGTTTATACTCGGGGCGTTCAGAGCTTTGTTATTTGAACAAGGCCTCGTCGCTTGCCCCCAAAGGCAGCCAAATATAAATCTTGGGGTCTGGAAAGCCAAACGCACAAAGAGAGTGTGTTTAGGAAAGAGTCTGTGGCTGCAGGAGAAGGAAGGCAGGCTCTTCCCCTCCTCCCCTCAGGGTTTCTCAGATTAATGTCAAACTGTAGCTGGGAGATCCTGTTTAATGTCTGTTGTAGGCACCAGATCACGCTTCAGTTCTGAGCCGAGAATAGATCCCAGAGTTCTTCATCATCCACAGCCTGTTCCTGGTGGTGCAGCCTCCTACCAAACGTGTGCCTGATCCCATTCCCGGTGGGAATCCTGCTCTGGCTCACATTCCTTCCTCCACTTCCAGACCTGGGGAGCTCAGGGTCTGCAGCCGAAATGCTCCTTGTGCTGAGGGTCTGCAGATACAGCTAGAGCCATGGAATCATGGAATGCTTTGGGTTGGAAGGGGCCTTAAAGCCCATCCAGTGCCACCCCTGCCACGGGCAGGGACACCTCCCACTGTCCCAGCTTGCTCCAAGCCCTGTCCTGTGCTCAGCTCCCACGTGTGGGTGCTGGAAAAGAGTCCAGCAGATGGTTCCCAGTGGGATCCAGTGGCTCTGGGACACAGCCAGGGCTTGGCCCCACGGGCTGGGGTGGCTGTCCCTGCCCCTGCCCCTGTCCCTGCCCCTGTCCTGCCCCTGCCCCTGTC